TCCAATAATCAACAAAGGTACTAGAAGATGGTGTTTTGGTGTTTGATGTATGATGATTTGATCTTTTTCATGTAATTGATCAAATCAAGTATGGGATTGAATGAGAAAGTTCAAGTATAGGAGAGTTGTTCTCAATTTCATTACCTTCAAAGCTCTCTTTCAAATTGATGTAATTTTTGTTATATATCTCTCTTTTTGGTATTTCTGGTCGGGTTCAAATGTCAAAAAAAGGAAAATAGGGTTTTATGGGTAACATTGTCGCTCGAGCGACAAGTGAGCAACGCTGTTTCGCTCGAGCGAAGTGGGGGTGAGAAGCGAGCGACGACCATTCTGTTTTTGTCGCTCGAGCGACCACTTGGCGAGCAGCTAGCGAAACTTCTACGACACATCTTGCCCTACTACATAGCTCGAACCCTAGCACACTTTACCAAAATTGTAACTGAGTCCCTCATCTTTTACTCATGTGCACATGACCCCTATCCTTTAATAATTGACAAATTGACCCCAAACTTTTGAGCATTAACACTTTTACCCTTTTGTTCACAGAATAGCTAACACAAAATCTAACAGAGCTGATAATTGTTTGGCAAGTAGCTTGTCTTGTGCTCACCAATGATGTATCCGAGGGCTGCATGTCTCCTCTCTCCTCGCATACCAGTCAGCTAAGATGGGGACAGTCTCATACACCCATATCTGCAACAATTACAATTATTATATATAGAATTTAATAAAAATAAATAAATAATACATTATGATAAACATTTACCTACAAAGTCAATGGCAGAATATATACATTGTACTTGTGCTCAAACCTACCCCCTTAGGCATTGAATACCTCTTCCTGAAGATGCGTAAGGTATTTGTAAAATATCTATGTCCCAATGAATAATTGTTGGAGGTATCAATGTCATCAACAATTTCCAAATGAAAAATCTCAATCTACGTCTTCTTGCGATGACACCTGAGTACGATCTTGAGGATAAGCATTAAGCCTAGCTTCAATTTATCAGACATCTGGTCGCATTCCTTAAATGCTTCTCCCAACTGCGCCAGAGTTACTATCATTTATCCATGAAAATATTCATTCAGCAACCTCCTGTTTCTTGGAATGCGGGCCCTCGCTGCTTCTTCATCCGTACATCTCAATCAGTAATGAGAGCAAATTCGAATATAGAGAATGTAGCTACCTTGCTCCCCAAAGATCTAAATAGAGGACATCTCCATTAACTGGCCTAAGTAACCGACATAACAATGCATCGAACAACTGCCCCGAAAATTATACTCGCACAACGAATATAGGGTCCATAAGCAGGGTCAACACAATATGTTTGCGTGCTCCTCATCGAGCAATTCTAATATTGAAATAAAGTTTGCAAAGTTACAGTTCGACGTAATTTTGTCAGGGATCTGTCTAATGGCGTTGTCTAAATGATATTTTATCCTGTAAATTTTCAAATGTTAGAACCTTATACAAAAGATAATGGGATGGAACATAATATTAGAAAATTAAACTCACTGAACTATAACTACTATACGCAAGAATCAACAGACAATGGAATAAAGGAAATCCATTACTATGTAGAAAAGTAAATAGACTGTTCCTATAAGTTTTGATTCAAGATTTGAATAATAAGAGCGCTCAATTTTATGATTAGATTATGAAGTATATTATTCATTAGAGGATCAATCGGACTTATGAAGAAAGATATAATTAAAGAGGTATACAAAATTACGAAAAGTCTATATCAAATGACTATATAAATGGATAGTTCAAATCTCTTGAATATAATTTATTTTATAATTTTAAGAGTACAACTTCAAAATTTTGGTGAAATAATTTGGAATTAATATCTTTGACGTATTAATTAAAGTGTTAATTAATTGTCATTATTATTGTTGCTTAAAATTATAATGTCCATATTGTCGGGTCCGTTAAAATTACATTGAGATGATTTTAATTGGGTTAGATTAATTAATTCAGAGTTGTGAATTCTGAATTAATTTAATTAGATTAATTTTTTTTAAATAATATGATTATTTAAAGTAATTTGAAATTATACAATATGATAATGATTATTTGTATAAACTTGAAATATTATTTGTAAACTTGGATTGTCCATGTGGTATTTGAATTCAATCACATATGGATAAGGATAAATAATTAAAAGTTAATTATTTTAAATAAATTTTGAATTGGTCAAAATTTAGTTATCTGATAAGCAGATATGGAAGAAAAATATTATTTTCCAATAAAGTGGTGCCACCTCTTCCTAGTATTAGGGTGGTTTTGATTTTTAAGTTAAATTATTAATAAAAGAATTAAAATAAAGCTATATTTTAGATACTCAAAATACAAAGAGAATTATGAGAATTTCTTTCTGAGAGTTCTTCCAATTCTTTTCACTTTATCTCATGTGTTGAGACTACAAAGTGAATCATAAAGTGAGCGTGCGAAGTAAACCCTCGTTCGAAATGCCCACTCGTTCGTTTCTTGTAATCCAAGAAATGCTAAGAAACAATTGTGGAGCATTTGGCAATTTGACGGTTTAAAAGAGTTCAAGATTCATAGTTTTATAGATTTCTTTCTTTCTTCCTTATCTTCAAAACATATACTACATAGTGTATAGGCTGCTATTATTATTATTGTTTTGTTTTAATCTCATGATAATAGTTTTTTTAGATGTTTGTTGATGTTACTTTGAATTTATTAATTCTTTGTCCGTGTACATAGTTCTTATTTGTAAGTTAATTTAGTATGAGAAAAAAAATTAGAAGCTCATTTGTATTTGGTCGTCATTTTCATTATTTTGTTATACTATATCTCGCAGTTAACATTTTTAAATTTTGTACATAAATCACTCAAATGCATATTCAATTTTGTTTTAAATAATTGTAGTGAGAAATTGATCAAAGAAACGAATAGACCTCTTTGATGTTGTATTATAATTTTGTATGCCAAATTTCACTTATAATTTGTATTGCATGTTAAAATTTAACATTTTGTTATTTTCTTCTTCAAGTTTTTTTTTTTTTTTTTTTTTTGGTTGGGGGGGGGGGGGGGGGGGGGGGGGGGGGGGTTTAGATGTCTGTATTAGATTCTTCATAATTATAAAATTCTTTATAAAAAGGCTCAAGTAAAAATGCGATAATTTATTTATTTATTTATTTATTTATTTTCAATAGGACCTCATATTTGAAATTGACACAAGGCACCCAAAGAAATCATGGCTAGCCCTATTCTCACGGTCATGTCAAGTTTACTAGCCATGAGTAATTTCCCGTTTAATTAAATCCGATTTTTATCCTTCCATTTCTTCTATGATTTTGACAAAACTATGATAATGTTTCCTACTTTTAAATATTGTGAGCTCGATAATCTTCACGCATTTACTGTTCAATGAAGCAAATTAGCTCTGAGTTTGAGCTGTATACGAGTTAGGTGATAAATAAATTAATTAAAGAATAGGAGTATAAAGCCCCTGTTTGAGTCCCATTATTTCCACAAAAATACATTTTTAAAATGTGTTTTGACATCATTTCAATCATACATTCTTCAATAAAATAATATTACACGCAAAACCCATGTTAACATCATAGCCCGGGATTTATTGGGTATCAAAAACCCAACACACGCAAACCCAAAATTTTTCCTTAATTTTTAACCACACATTCTCTATCAATCTACTATTCAAAATTCATTCTTTCCCCACCAAAATGGGGCTCAAACAAGGGCTAATAATCAATTTTCTGTAAACTATTCATACACAAATTCATAAATAGTTAAATTATTAAGAAATTTTTTGGTAGCGACTTGAATATATATAAATTTGGGTTGTTACATTGGGCATTACTACGTTTCATTATGAAAAACTACATCCAATCCAATGCCAAAATTGTCTCTTAATCGTTTTCTTTCATATCAACAGCGGAGAATTGCAAATACCCGCCTACGATCTCATGGAGGAAAATTGCCCTCCATATTATCCACTGATGCTCATCCACTGCTGCCCATGGAAGCAGTCATTTTTATGCATACCAGTTCTTGTGCGTCAATTTCGTCCTGTAACATGCCCATGAACTGCATGTTTATGACTTTCGACTAACTGGAACATCAATATCATAGCAATGAAAAAATACTTCTTACTCTTGGTCATCGATTCAACAATCTCACGTGACTATTGACAGATCTAGGAATCCAAATGAGTATGAGTTGATCCAGGTGAGCATGGGCGCCCATAGGGGTTTTGGCCTGTATTGCTTATACACGTCAGCCCAGAACTACAAGATCATCGTTGCATTCCGAGTTCACGTCAATGGATTTGTGCGAATAGTCTGATGCACGTCATGCAATTTTTGTGTCCCCTATTAACTTTAAGCACTTCAATTCATATATATTTATTATTATTATTATTATTATTATTATTATTATTATTATTATTATTATTATTATTATTATGTTTAATCTCTTCAAAAACGACCTCTCCTATCTTCAATTAAATTCATCTTTATCACATTATTCTGTTTCGAGAAATTGGAACAAAAAATGACTGAAACAGTATTCTTTCTCCGCATCCTTCAAACTTCTTCAGTGATGGCATCCAAACGCCCAACTTTTGCTGGCACGTGGTATTCTCAATCTGTGAATACACTAGTAAAAGATGAAATCATGAATTCTTTTAGGTACAAAATGAACCCTTCTTAATATCAATTAATCTCCACCAAGATTCATAGTATACAAAATGTAATTATAGCATGGTTTCCAGTGACTTTTTGAGCTAATATTCACACGGGACAGATGAAATCGACATAACCAGACTACTCCACGCTCGGAATACACAGAAAAAAGAAGAGACGACTGGAATATGGAGTTGTAGAACCATGTATATGCTTAGCAGATAAACCATTTACTTCAATCTGAGAGAGGTACTGACGTTTAGGATTCAAGGGATGGGCATAAAAAAAACAGCATTTTATAAAGCACACCATGACAACTTGCCCACTTTCTAATCTTTGCATCTTTTCAAACAGTATCCGTATAAGTTATAACAACAAACAAACCAAATTCCACCCAATAAAAGTTTCAAGACGAGTTTTCACTAGATCAGATGCTTAAAGGCTTCAAGATTGTTGCTACATGTAAACCTGATCAAGCTTTAAACATAAACTGAAACATAATGCAAATACAGAACCATAACTTTCAAGTAACGAGTCATCATAACATTTCCACAAAGAAAGCAGACTCCCACCCAAATAAGTAATAATTATTGTGCACAAGAACACAAACTATCTGGCAATTGCCATCCCAAGCATTCCAATATCCGAATTGAGCAAAAGCATCCGCGAAGAAATGTAGAAGATGATTTAATCTTTCCTGAGTTCCATGTACTCTTGACGTATACCACTAGCATTTAAAACAACTATCTCCAGCTTGTCTCCCTGTAATGCACAGGTCAGAAACAGATTGAGAATATTCTTAAGGTCTAAATAAACAAATTGAATCAAAGAAAAGGAAAAAAAAAAAAAAAAAGATTTAAGCGCCACCATCCACCCACTCCATCTTCCCCCTCCAAACTGGAAATAATTAGTGTCAGTGCTATCTCAGAATATAATAAATTATGTATCAGTGCCAAAAGAAATATAGATATTAAACAAATTTACAACATTATGGAAAAATGACATTCAGTTTTGGTAAACACAAATGCAACCACTTGGTCCATATGAAGCAAGTGAATTAGAGAAGCTGTATAACAAGCAACTATCAGCTGCAGTTCAGAGATGGCAAACTGGTAGTGCCCATTGATTTCTGGACTGAGTGCATAAATTCTATTTTATATACACATACAGCATAAAAATGCTTCAGTATACCTATAAATGATTTGCTGATGAACCAAAGGATCATAGCAAGCCGTATGATTTTTCTTTGCTATTAGTTAATCTATAATATATTAAAATATCACATCGAAGGAGAATCATTTTTTGGACGATTATAACTCTCCTACAGTTCAATTACTTCAATAATACCTTAATTCTCGTTTATCTATATCTAATAAATACTACATAATTATTCTCATTTATGAAATTTGTGTTTATTAGTTCACAATTAATTACATTCACATTAACCTAGATTAAATAAATTTTCACTTCATGAATTTTAAATTACATGAATCCAGAGTTATTAGGAATCTGTTTGAACCACATTATTGAAAAAAAATACATTCTTAAATAGTGATTTGACATCATTTTAACCACATTCTTCAATAAAATAATAATATTACACGCAAATCAAAAACTTTTCTTTATTTTTTAACCAAACATTTCTCATCAACACACTATTCAAAAATGCATTATTACCAAAATAATGTGGCTCAAACACCCCCAGAGATGAATTTAGTCATATTCATGTATCTAGAAATTTTAATGGATGTTTAAATTTATTTATTAAAAATTAATTTTAATGTATCAAATGTAATATAAAAAGATTGTTCATTTATGGTATTTCATCATTACAAAAAATTTGAATCATATAAATTGAGTTTTGAGATTAAAATTTGAGTATAATTTTATTCTCCTAAATTTCTGAGCTAAATTTTATTTTCTTTAATTCATCCGAGATTCGTCAAATCTGACAACAAATTGGTACCAAAATATTATTTTACATCACTTAGTATAAAGTATTTTAGAATAACGTACAATGCACGTTCAACTTTGACTAGTTGTAAATAACATATATAAAGTGGAAATCATAATGCTACATTTAGATTTCTGCTTGAAAGTTGGAAAATAAGAAAACACAACAGCCAGAAAATTGATTTTGTATTTCAATACACTTCTAAAATATCTGGTTCTAACTCAAGAACTATATATATAGAGTTTGTATGCCTTTTTTTTTTTTTTTGTTGGGTTGGGGGNNNNTTTTTTTTTTTTTTTTTTTTTTTTTTTGGGGGGGGGGGGGGGGGGGGGTCCAAGACAGAGAGGCAGAGAATGAGAGTTAAATATTGACCATGCTGAAGAATTTTGATGGCTTCTGCATGTTCATAGTGATAATTTGTATATTCACTGACTATTTTGGACTAGAAAAGTAAACATAGGCATGTGCAGCCAGACTAGTTATCCTGCATGTACTTGAATCCCGAGTATATGGATCTAAGCTTCTGGACAAGCATTTAAAACAAAGCTATAGCAGACTTGTATGCGAGGAATACTTTTGAGTTTTTTAGTTTCGCAAACTCCCAATGAATATATTTCCAACAAAGTATTTGAAGACTTCTTGTGTTCCAGCAGAGTTCCAAGTCAAATATCTAAGATTATGTGTTGGGGTCCACGTACATGTGCGGGCCTTGTTATTTGGCCATAAAAATATCAAAATCAATTGAATTTATACTGATTGGCAGTGGCAGGTTGTTGGGGAGCTTACCCAAAATTCATCATCCAGTGGGAATATTAGAATGTCTATAAAATTATCAGCAACAATGAATTGAAGTTGAAATCTACTTTAAGGACTGTAATACACGTTCAGCTTGTAAAAGTACAGATTTCTGAATTTTGAGGAACAATGACCCTCAAGTTTATATGTTATTTACTTCGTAGTTGGCACCAGCGAGAGATTAGGTTGCCTTGTGAGAGTTCACCGACATTGTAGACTTCCTGCCTGGACTGAGGGAATACCCTGTTACTTATATTTTGTTATTTGTTTTTCATTTCCAGCGCATAAAAATTGTACATCTATTTTTTTGTTACTAGGTCCAGCTAGCTTGCTGGCTATTTTTTTATTAGGCCACAGATCCCCAATGACAATAAAAAATTAAAGAACTCATCCTGAACAACAATAGGTAGTAAAAGAAAGCTCAACAAAAAACCAAAAAGTTAGATCTCATATGATTTCATCCCCGCCTGGATATTATGCAACATGATGTAAATGATAGGGGGCGGCCAAACTGATTTAACACCAAGTGGAAATCTCCCACCTTGTTGATCTCCCCATGGACATAGCCAAAGGAATCATCAGCGTAGTCAGTGGCTAGAGGGCTCTTGTGACGTCGATTGCTAGCTTTACCAGAATGTTCGAGGATGAAGAATTATTTTTCTCGTTGCAGGCATTCTCTTAGGCTAGATTAAGTTAAGTTGGGAATTATAAAAGCGAGAAATTCTAGTTGGTATTGCTAAGTCTTTCTTCTATTTGGAAATCTTTGTCTAGATTGGATTTTGATTTTAAATTAAGTTTCACTGATTTATAATTGTTAAGCAAAATGTAATAGTGCGAAGAACTTAAGAAAGGATTCTGTTGCTGAGTATTTTGAGAATTTATTCAAGGGTTTATTTGTTCATCGGCATGCTAGGGATAGATGCTCCATACCAATGATGTTTGTATAATGCTTAGCTTCCATTTGGGAATAACTTATAAATAATTTAATTTAAAATAGATAAAAAAGAGTGATGGATAAGTGAATAGTACTTGTGGGCCCATTCAAATTGGAATATACGCCCCTGTTTGAGCCACATTATTTTCATAAAAATGCATTTTTGAATAGTGTTTTGATAGGAAATGTGTGGTTAAAAAATAAGGAAAACTTTTAAATTTGCGTGTAATATTATTTTATTGAAAAAAGTGTGGTTGAAATGATGTCAAATTACTGTTTAAAAAAATATTTTTTGAAATAATGTGGGTTAAACAGGACCTATAACTGAAATGAAATTTAACCACTTAAATAATTTTAAAATTTCCCAAACAGATGTATAATTGGAATTCGCATATTGGCCATGCTCTATCCCAGGATCCAGGACATCCAGTAGTGCAAAGATTAAAAATTATTAAGTGATTTTGTAAAATGTTGTATAAAATATCTTTTGTAGACTTAGTAGGACGAATGATGTTGTATGAAAAAGTATTTGACAGAAAGATTGAGACAAGATGGGCAAGTGATTGATAGATCGTAGATATAAGAAAGCTATTTCTTTATAACAAAGCTATATCCTCTACAGAAACGGTACAGGATACACACATGAAGGGGTGGGTGGATTATTTTTTGAAATATTTTAATTCACATGGGGTCCACCCCCATGTGAGTGTCTGTAAAGTTCCTGTAGATGATTTTTCTGTACAATCGGATTTTTCCATTTCCTTATTGTGTTTATAGTGCCTTTGTTTTGCTGGTTTACACTTGATGACCCAATGCCTATTTATAGGGTTTATATGTCAATGCAGTACAACAAATTGTGGTTCATATTTATCCTACGGAGATTTCTTTATTTTAAAATTCAAAAAATTAGCCCCCAGCTTTTCTTCTTGTCCAAGTTAGTCTAGTTTCATCCAGAAATGATAGTTTCTAAAAATGAGCTCCATGTTTTATAAGGCAACTTGTTAATTACTATAGAATATAGTATGAAAGACAACTCTCCTGTGAAGTGCAGCAAAAAGACAGGAAAAAAAGCAGTAGCATATAATGACGTGTGAACATCAAGAAATTAGTATCAGAAGATGTTTGTCAGCATAACAGCAATCGTTATGCAATTAAATAAAGAGAGAGCTCCCTAAATTACTTGTATCCAAATAAGTGTCACCTAATCAAAGATAGATATAAGCCAGAAGGCAAGGGTCACTATAAAGGGGAACCCATTAACTTTAGAATTCTATATTCTTGCCAAGCAATCAACAGAACTTAAGAGAAAAAAACACTTACAGTGTATATGTCCCTTTCTGTTGCAGATGCAAAACAAGTTTTAACCAAATCGATGGCTTCTGCTTCTGAAAGTGGAGTAACTGCATCCTGCAGAATCCATAGGATTTCACTTGGCCATCTTGAAAATAAGAAATCCAGACAACTGACACAGGTTGAGGTCAAAATCAAACCTTGGCAGGTAACAGAAGAGGACTTGGAGACTTGAGTTGATTGTCCAAAAAGGGTGTGATGAGTGTAGAACCAGAACCTTGGGAGCTGTATCCAACTCTCTCATATGATCCAACAGCATCGTATGTGAAGACACAACCCTTCCCTTCAGGATTTCCAAAAGAAAATAAAATAAAATGTGCATACATGGTATTAATAAAAATCATGAAAAAGAACCAAAAATTTTCACTCTTACCTTCATTGTCAAGGCCACCCAACACATTGAAAGCATAATATGGGAAGAAACGCTTGTAATACAGGGTATTAGAGAGCAGCTGAGCCATTGCGGGGCAGCTCATTTGCTTGTTATAATAATATGATATTAGATCCCACGTAACTTCCAAAAAATAATAATAATAATAAATGAAGATAGCCATTTTCCACTGTTCTTAATCTACCCAACAGAAATAGCACCATCAAAGCATGAAAGAATTGTAGAGAGGTTACATATATAAAGAAAGACAAGGCCAGTTGGTCTTCTATGCACGTCATTAATTTTTATTTTTTAACCAAGTAGATACTAGACAATGAGCTTGCTATTGTACTAAAATGCCAGCTAACCAAATAAATAAAACTAGAAATGCATGGAAGCCTGGGAAAATGTAAAGTTTATAAAATCTGAAACTTTAACTCAAGTCCTATACAGTTGTTCATAGTTTTGTTATAGCATGCACAAAGTGCACCCTTCCAAACCAAAGGATGACAAGCAACGTGGAAAATAATCAGAAAGTAGTAATGAATCCCTGTAGATATATCAAGAAATATTAGAATAGTGTCAAAATCTCTTCGATTGCATATGAAAGAAAATCTGCAGTATAACAGCTGAATTTCCATGCTTATGAAGAAGACATCCATTTTAAAACTCTACCCATTTAACTGAGACTGTGAACCATCTAAAATGTACAAAATAAATAAATCAATCTGCAAGAGAAATGACTAGAAAACTCTACACATTTAACTGAGACTGGGAACCACCTAAAATGTACAAAATAAATACATCAATCTGCAAGAGAAATGACTAATACTTCTAGGATCTTAACGAGTGCATATGATGACCACATTGAGCCTGAGCTGCTTGAGTTGGGAATCAGAATTATCAAAAATTGATATAATAGTTAAATGGGGCATTTCTCAGCAAATAATTCATTATTGATCAACAAATTGATCCATGTGATTTGACACCTTTAGCTTCAAACTTTACAATGACATTTGTTGTTTAGCCAGAGAGATCAAGTATGAACAACTCAGTGATGAAATCTGTATGATATCACACGATGCACAGATATGTTTGTTAGAAGAATAAATTCAACAGGTGCACTACAAACACTACTTAAATGGCCTAAAGAACTTACCAAATGCCTTGATGCCAAGACCTTCTGCAGAGCTCTCACATCAGCCTGAAACCCTGACGAAGCCATCACGGATTTATCTGCACTATATGATTAAAGAAACAAGAATTATATTATATAAAAGAAAGCTCCAAAGCAACCAAGAGAATCATAAATAGTGGAATGCATAAATGAGAATCAAAGAGTGACAAATAAAATAGTGATGGCAAAGTTATCCTGATACAAAAAACCAAAGTAACTTTCACTAGTGATCCTAGAATAACAATGGAGTAAACGAGTTCCAACAACTTTAACTATTTATCAACATGCCAATTAGTGGAATCAACACAAAGGAGGGCTATTTACTTATACAAAACAATCATGGTACATGCACCCTGCAGTCATCTTTAAGACCTGGAAAACATAAATTAGCAGGTATCTTAGCAGCTCATTTCTAGAAGATTCTTATGATTGAAAAATTCTATTATAACTCCCATCTGTCAGAATAGCAGAAAGGAGATTACAAATAGGGACAAATGAAAAATATGTTTCCTATTATCAGTTACTAAAAAGTACTAAATAACAAAAACCTAAAGGATGGTATTTTATAGATTGAGATAGATTAAATGCAAAGTGTACATTGTACAGAATACACCTTTTCAATAGTACAGATAAACATTTATCCTCTCAAGGTCTTTATTCAATCATTTCCAAAAAGAATCTTTATTTTGGAATACTCCGTCAGCAGCTAAATTTATCTTCTCGGAATGAAAACACTCAACAAAATTGTTCCCTCCAAAAGAACATAAATTCAACTGAACAAAACTGATATGTTACACCAAATTGGAAAACGAAAAATCAGTATTCAGTAATTTTCTGTAGGAATACAATCACAAGCTTTAGTTTTTAATTTTCTACACAAACTACAAACGTAGTTGTTTTCCTAATAACAAGTCACTTATAACATAAATCGACATCTGATAAAGCAACCCCTGAACACTTATTTTTAACTTCTCACAAAACAACATTCAAACCGAGCGCATAACAATAAACCAGAAATCCCAAGTAAAATAAAAGAAAATTAAGGAAATTACAGCTGAATAATTTTGGAGTAGTCGCGAGTGAGAATATTGTAGCCAGAGGACATTCGAGTGTCAGCCGCAATAACACAGTAATCAGCTCCTGCAATAGCGACACACGTCCTGCATATACACGATACAGAACATGGATCAAATATACATATGTATAAAATTTATTAAATTTATGTACATAGAACTAGGGTTTTGCATACCCTCCATTGTTGTCATAAGGAGACCAATTTGCTTGCTGCTTAGTCATGCTGAGTTTGAATCGAGAAATGTTTGCTGTTTATCCAATGAATTTCGTTTCAGATTTATGAGCCTTTGGTGTCTTTTTTCGCAAGAAATTCAACAAATACCCAAAGATTCATTCGGTTTCAGCAGTTCAGATACGACGTCGTTGAGATCAATTTGTGTGGTGGGCATTTCGTATGACTTAGAAAATAAAATATTTTCTATTTTTTGTGGAAAATAAAAATTACATCTACTCAAGAAAAATATTTTCCTTAAAAATAAGGAAAATTAGGCATATTTTCAAAAATTGAAAAATATTTTCCATGGAAAAAATTAGCAATCAAACACTCAAATAAGAATTTGGGTGAAAAACTGATATTTTTCATGAAAAATAAATGTAATCAAACACACTCCTAGAGTTGAGATTGTATGGTAGCAATTTTTTACCCCAAAAAATTAATTTTTTAAACATTATTACTCTATTCAGGTCGTCAATTTTTTAGAACACACTTTTGACAGCTTAAGTTAGAGTTTGTTGAAACTAGAATTTGAAAATAAATTTTGAAAAAAGTAAGGGGTTGTTCTCTTCGTCTTTCAGTTTTGTGTTTTGGATGTCTATTTTTGAAATTGTTGAAAATAAGTTTTTTTTTTATTCTAGAAAACTATTTCTCAAAACATAAAAATGGAAAACGTTCACTTTGAATTTTGAGAATCTTTTTTTACAATATTTTATTCAAAAAATCTGATTATTCAATGAATTTTATAATGATTTATATGGCAAAACCCTAGAAAATTTGAGAAAATTCCCAAAAATGGAAAAACAATATGATGAATGATTAAAATTGGTAGTCCTAATCTTAAGGATTATCCTTCAACGAATGGAATTCAAATATGACTTAAATTGATCAAGATATAACCAAAATAAAATTTACCAAAAAAGAAAAGAATGCATAAACGAATGTCTAAATAAAGGAATTTGCCCAAATTTGGCGCTATATCAATAGCAAAGCTATTGAATTTTCATCATTTGCACACTTTCAATCAAATTTGACTAAAATTTTACAAAAAACTGACAATCCTAAAATTTCTCCAAAAACTAGGAGTTGAAAAGAAAGGCAATGAGGTTAATTTTTAGCTTAAATAAAGGGAAAAATGGAGCTACGCACAGAGCACCACGTAGCTCCGTAGAGCGCGAAGACATCTAGTTTTTGGAAATTTTTAAGTTGGTGAATCTTGAAAAAAAAAATCTAGATATAAAAGCACAACTTAAATTAAATTTGGTAACACAATTCAATAATATATGATTAGAAGTTTACGTGTCATGACAAATTAAGCACACACTAAATAAAATATAAAATAAATCTACGGAATCATGTACGACATTTTGAATAGTTATTCCACATTTGTGTATTAATTTGATCCCTGACTTGTCCCATGAGAGCTTTTTGACTAGCATCAAAATGTATGACTTCTTGATATTGATTTGACTCCAGTGTATCTTGAAACACCATATTCTCCTTCGAATACTCAACAAACAACTTATGTAAAGCTTGTTCCTGACAAATGAAGTTGTATATTACGCAACATGCAGTAGGGATTTGTCTCTACCTACTAAGTGGATAATTAGTAATCAACTTCAAAATAGGAAATTTTGTCTTTAAAACTCCAATGCAATGCTCAATAATGTTACGGCACGAAGAGTGTCTATAGTTGAACAATTCTTCCTTCCCACGTAGTCTTCTCCGTCCGACATAGTCACGCAGATGATATCTTTGACATCAATAAAGGGTAAGAAATCCAGGTATGTTTGGATAGCCAGAATCAACAAGATAAAATTAATCTGCAATATTTAAAAAAAAAAAGACTTACATTCGCAATAATTATTTTGTAAAAGAATAACCCTCCCGATGTCATTGGAAAGCTGTTCGAGCTTCTTGTGACTGCATCAATGAATACTCGTGAATCATTAGTAGTACCTTCCCAGCCAAAATACACAAATGTGAATTTCATATCAAAATCATATGTCAACATCACATTTTGTGTTACATTAGTTTTCCTTCCATGAAAAGATGTTTGTCTCAATGCAGGTTCTCAAACTGCAAGATGTGTTCCATCTATTACGCCTATAAAATACTTAAAGAAATGATATTTGTGTAAAATCCACTCATGAACAATGTTTTGATTTGTCGGACAGATTATCTTAGTGCCAAATGAACAAATAGCCCTTTCAACTCATTTGAACCATTTGTGTATCGTGTTGCTGAAATGATGAAATTTATCATCAATAATACTATATCGTGTAATGTGCCCTATAATAATCAGAAACATAGCAAAACCCTTCAACGCTCACTTTTTTCATCCTTCAACAACCCTTTCTCTTTCAAAATATCACAAAAATTCATGAAACATGTTTCTGCATACGAAAATTACGATAGTACACGTCCGGATGTCCATTCAGAATTTCTAGCATGTACATTTTTCCAGTAAGCAGTGATGTTCTACAAAGTCTCCCGTCTATGGTGCTTCCTTTATTGGCAACCATCATTGATTCAAATAAAACAAGCAATCAAATATTGGGAAATTAAAATGAAAAATTAAAAACATCAGTTATACAACCAACAACATCATAAAGTTTATAAATAAAAACAGTACAACATCACCAAATAGGAAAAAAAAAGTACTTCAAGCTGTAAAAATAACACAGTACTTCAACTTTGAACATAATGACAATGGAAACAACATGATACTAGAGAAATTAAAACAACAATCATATCAAAGTAGTTCCACGATAGGTCATCTAAATGCCCTGACATCTTTACAAATGACACCCTAAAATCGGGATCCTTAAAACTGTTATTGCTTTCATATAAACCTCATTGGACATCCCTTTAATATTGTTTAAAATATCCAAGCAAATAATAGTTGAATAAGGATCCAAGCTATTAACTTGACTATCCAATTGATTACATGATTTTCCTTGGATCTTTGCAAACTTTTCTTTTAGGTAAAGTGTTCTAAGTTCAGTTTTTTCATTCCACATACTAACTGTAGATGACTTTCATGTCATGCAAGCTTCCAGTTTATCACTTTTACTGATCTTAGGTTGCTTACGTCGGCATTCACGTGATGTACTAATTTCCTCACGCCAACAAGTATTTGAAACCTCATCGACTTCATCAATATGATCCACGCATACATGCACAGATGCACTCCCTGTTCAAAAAATAATCTTACAACTGTTTTTTTTCCTCTGATGTGTTTGGAAGCTGAGTGGAGCTATTGCCTAATCCTCCAATAGCTGTAATCCCGCTAAATATCTCTCCAAGAGTGTGGTAGTGCTTAGATCTTTCCATCTTGAACATTATGTAATTCGACTTGTCAATCTACCATTGAAAAAAGAAGCCACATTGTCATAGTGTTCAACGAAAAAGGGTAAAATTGATAAGATAAAAACTAAAGATGTTAATAATCTATAATAAATATATATACTGTGTAAAAGTGTTGTCAAACTTCCTCTAAAGTATTAACTTTGTTGTTATTCGGATCCCACGTAATACCTGTATGCCCAAAAGTTCAGAAAACATGCAATGAATCTTATGTAAGTGGTTCCACTTTTTCTTTATATCTATGCCATAATCCATTTTTATTGAAGCTATTATAGTTTCATTGATCCTACATCATTCGTCTTTCATAAATGTAGAATATTGCAATGCTTTTGATTTCATTTTCCCATAAAGAATTTTGATAAAAGTATGTTCATTCTCATCCGACCGTGAAATTGGTTCCTTATTCCTTACTGACTATCCATGTTCTATATTGAATATACATCAAATTATCAAGAAATATATCAACGAATTTAATTATAGCCACATACCACAAATTCTAATTGGCATGGTACAATAAGGATACATAAGAAAGAACAAACCTCCAAAGTAGCTTAACTAAAATAGTAAGCAACCTGACTCAAATTGAAACCACTGATTGCTCACATACCTTAGTGAAAACGCAAAGTAACAATGGACAAGTCTGCACAATAATGTGATGAGAGAAAATGTTGTTATTAAAAAAGGTCACGCAATCATCATAGAAGGTAAATAACAAAAAATCATTGGATAAGATGCAAAAACGAAATGCCAATCATTGAAAGAATCCCAATCCAACACAAATCATAGTTAGAAACTAGATGATGATTTCGACCCCATCATTAATTCAAGAACCATGAGCAATAGTTCAGTACATTTGGCTCGTCTTTGTTTTTCTTTTTATTCAAAAAATGAGTTCTGTCTAGAAACTCATATCCTAAATTCCTAAAATTATAATTGCAAATCCCTCATAGACCCTTCGAGTTCTAAATGGAAAAATCGAGTAATTTTCCTAAATTTTCAGCTCATGGCTTTATTATTGTGCAGCTTCATTCGTAATTTTTCTCAAGCTGTGGAAATTACATTCAAAACACTTACAAATGAGCATATTTTGTATTCCTTGAACCATAAACCCATTTTCTCAAATTTCCCCGAAAATTCTTAAATAGACATCCATTTGTGAATTATTCTCCCCGCCAAAGTAGCTTAACCATCAATGCACTCTGTGAATTATTCTTCCCCCTCTTCATTTTCTTGGGTTACATTAAAAACAAAGCATGGCATATAACAAAAAGTTAAACATACCTGTAGCAACCCCAAATAATCTACAACTCTCGAGAACTAAGCAAATTTACACCATGTGCCTTCGATTGAGCCTTTCAATCTTCAATCTGCCACAATAAAGGAATTGGAAAGGTAGATCAAACCCTAGAGAAAATGGTTGTGGAATTCATTTTATGTGGGGGTGGGGGGGGGGGGGGGGGGGGAGGGAGAGAGAGAAAGAGATATGAGGATTGGTTTTTAATTTGGGCATTTTCCGTTTGTTTTTCTTATTTCATGTTTTTAGCTTGAAAACGCTTGGAATGTCATTTTTGAGGTTTTGACTTTTCAGTACAAATTTTTTTTTTTCAAAAATGAGAAAGAAAATGCGTTTTCACTGTTTTGGAAAATTGAAAACAGAAAAAAATAAAAACAATTAAGAGAACAGCCCCTAATTTTTTTGAAAAAGAATAATTAAAAAAAATTAAAGAATAATTAAAAAAATTATATATACGCGTACAT